TGTCCAGGCTGTCTCTGCCCTGCTGAGCCTGCCAAAAGTCCCATTCTGGAAATGGTGCTGCACCAGTTGAGTAGTCCTTGACTTACGACCGGTTGAGTAGTCCTCAACTTACGATCGGTTGGGGGTCGCGGCATTAAAAAGGTTGAGAACCACTGCTTTAGAACTTGTCAATTGGAGGGGTCTAAGGCTATAATTATTGTTGTATTAATAGTAGCAATTAAAAATAAACATGCCACTGAAATTATTTTTTCCTTTGTTCACATTTTTCTCAAAAAGCTTTAAACAAATCTTCTAGGGATAGGTCAATTATCACTAACTCCCTATTATACATGGCAGGTGCCAAGTGGTAACTTATCTAGACCATTTACTGCCGTCATAAATTGTTTTAGTTAGAACATGGATATGGTATCTACTCTTTTTAACAGATCTTGCACGAAACTGAGCTCTTGCATGAGTTCAGTCATTAGCTGCTTCTCCAGGCCCCTGGAGAAGCAGCCAAATTCAATGTACTTCGGGGCATAAACAATATTTTTCATTCAGTCAGAGTCCATTCCCATCTTCCCTCCTACTTTCCCCCTTCAGCTGACCTGGCGCTCCAGCCAAATCTTAATTTGCAGCAATAGCCAGAAGATCGTGCTGCCTCCTGGGGGATTCTGCTGGTCTTGATCCCTTGGAATCAAACCTCTCCCATAGCTCCTGTCCAGCGCCTGCGGACCGCTCAGCTGGATTTTCATACGCTCAGCAGAGGGCACTGCTACAGCTCTTAAGTGGCCCGTTCTTTTCCCTGGAGGCTATGCTCAAACAGAGACTCTCCCCAGTATAGTATTTCTCAACTTAGGCAACTTTAAGACTTCAACTCCCAGAATTCCCCAGGGAAAATTACTACTGGGGAGTTGAAGTCACACACTGTAAACTTGCCAAGATTGAAAGACACTGATTTTAGGGAATGAATTCACGCTTATCCAGCAGCCCTTCACTTCACCTTTATAAAAACATTTATATCTGGTCTGCTCAAATGCGAATGACCGCTAGATAATGAATAATCCATTTTTCAGAAGGAAGTTTTTACGACTTGGATACACTGTGCCTAGTAGTAGGAGAAGACAACACATAATAAGGAAAAGCCAAGTCATGTTATGCTTTCAAACAAAGCAGGCAAAGGCTGCCTGCAGGCTGGTGTGCATGTTTCCAGAATGAGTATGTGACCGATTTGAATGTGCAACCACACTGGTAAACATAGTAACTTTCTGAATTGGCATAAAATGCTAGACACTAATAAAATAGCATCAGCTAGTTCGAAATTTAGCATGTTGTGGGAACCAACATAATCTTAAACCCTAATACGATAATTTTGGGCCTATCAAGGACAGGTGCAGACCCAGTCTTGGAAATTCCTGCTGAGGAAACCCCAACATACAGACAAAAGCAACACATAGGCTGCCTTCCTGCGAAAATCATGGCCCTCTGAGGTGCCTTTCCCACATACAGAATAACAAGCGTTGAAAATGCTGCATACAGAAATGTAGTATTTAAATTTATTCCAAAGAATATTATATATATATATATATATATATATATATATATATATATATATATATATATATATATATTCCACATTTATGTTTCCACACTTATGTTTCCAAAAAACATTACATGGAAAAAAACGTTCACGAAGACAGCATGAGGTCTACCTTGAAGCTGCTGGGGGCACTGCCAGAATCAGATGACCTCTGGGAAAGACACCCCCCACTTTCACACATGTATAAAGTTTTGCAGCAAAGTCCCCAAAGGAAGGAAAAGAAAAAAACCAGTTCCGGCTTGTGCATTACGTCACTGAGGGAGGGGATCCAGTGAAGTCCGAGAGGTAGAGGAGACTGGAAATGGCCCCTCCTCCCCTCCTGTCCCTTCCATCTTGTGGTAGAATTGAAGGAGCAGATTTACATTCCAAGAACGTGTTGTGGCCTCTAGGCTTGTTTGAGATATTGAGGATTGTTTTCGATGGTAGGACCGGTTTGCTCTTTTGGTCAATGAGAACCCACTCCTGCTTCCCACCGAAGAAAACTGGGATCTGGGCACCTGCAAGGGCCAAACCAGGTTATCACAGCAGGCTATTTTGTTTTTTGAACCTAGCCATCAAAAATAAAAACAATTCAGCATCAATGCTAGAAAACTAGTGACTTTAAATTTGCATGCATTTAAATGAATGAACATATACTTGAGAAATGGCCTTCTCTTGTTCCCTTTTTCTTGGGAGCTGAAATAGATTTGAGTGGAAATTTTCAAGCAAATGTTGATAACTCAAAATATCCTTGTAAATGCTGGCACAAATATTCTCCTAATGTAATGCCCTCTTCCTCTATTCTTTCTTTCGTTTTTGTAATTAAACAATGGAGACAAATTCATGAATGAGGTGTCTAACATTGGCTGTAAGACATGAGAGCATAAAGCAGATCTTCTCATTTCAGAGGCAGTATACCTTTAAGAAATAGTTGCTGGGAGCAAACTACTGAAAGATGCTCCATTCATAGGCTTTCCCCGAGCCTTCTGATTGGCTGCGACTGTTACAAAGAAAATGCCAGACTAGATACACTGGGCCTTGAGTGTGACCCATCCACATGAATTATAGATGCTCCTGGACTTAAAGGATACAAGGAAAAAACTAACTGTGAAATGTTAAACTTGGCCATTGAATACATCAAACAAAACATGGCTCACATTTTCTGGCAAAAGGTACTTTTTATATTAAACCCAGAGTTTGGAAATGGAGTTTCTTTCCCACCGAATTTTGGAGTTTGAAATTTCAGACTGAGTTGGTGCAATGTTTTATTTTAGCTGTCCAGCATCTTACCTCTGGAGACAGGAAGGTGCGGAGGTGGGGAATTCTCAGGAATGAACTGCATTACATTGCATTGCCTCAAATACCAACAATCTTTGTTCATCCTGCTGTCTGAGTTTTGTACCTGGCCCTTGCTGAAGAAAATATGTTATTGTACTGGCTGGCTGGTGAATCTAATGACGGAAATATAAAAGACCGAGTTGAACCGGGGATCGTTTACGTTCTAGCTTAGGAGAGAAATCAGAGACCGCTTTCTAATTGGGGCGAGGATAGGATAGGGTTTCAGTTCTTGAAGGTCCTGAAGGAATGCTGGCAGCGTATCTAACCAGGAGCAGAGATTATTTCCCTTCATTTTGATAACCCTCCTGGTCCTCCTTATAACTCCAATGTCCACCTTGTGCTCCAGTTCCCATGATGACTGCTATGAAGGAAAATGAGGCTTGCCCCCACCCACAACTGTCCTTTGTGAGTTGGGAAATGCCCTGTTGTTTGGTGGCAGGAAAAAATAAGCTTCTTATTTAGATTTCAAACTCCTTCACTGTTCTCTTAAAAAATCAAGTTTGAACATTGAAATGCCACAATGGGAAACGGTGGCAGACGCTTTTCTTAAGGAGCTGCCCCCGTTGCAACAGAGCTTCCTGCCTTCTAGTCTAGTGTCAAGATTAGGGGCTCTGATTTGCAACCCTGGTTTTGAAAAGAATGCCCAATGGGTCCTTCCTGATACAATTCCCACCCCCACCCCCAAAACCAGCTGTGGTGGCTGGTTTCAGTTGAAGGACGTCATTACCCACTGAGGCAGGAAGTAGCCATTCCTCACTTGGTGAGCCTGGGCAATATTGTCTGCTGCTTCTGGCTCACAATCACACCTTTCACACTTTCTAATCGTAAGCCACACAAAATCTCTTTTTCTACTGCAGACTTTCCCAAGCCTGGCAACTTTAAGATCTGTCACTTTAACTTTAAGCGTGGCTGGCTGGGGAATTCTGGTAGTTGAAGTCCGCACGTCTTAAAGTTGCCAGGGTTGGGAAACCCTGCTCTAATGGGAATGGCACAGTCAGCTGCCACAACCCTATGCTAGCTCAGCTGCCCTTCCCTAAATGGGTATCCTACTATGGGTCTTCACAAACTCAGCCTTGCTGGAGCTGAAATAAAATCTCATTGCACAGAGGCGAAAAGCAAGAACTTTTGAGATTGGAAAGTGACATTTCAAGGCTTGGGAATTTGGGTGTTTTTTTAAAAAATTCAGTTTTGTAGAGAAGTGTTAAAAACAACCTTGAACTCAAGCTGAAGAACGTAATTTATTTTCTGGCTGGCTCTGAGGAGGTCAGAGGGCAAAGTCTGTCTGTTGGGAATGGCCCCCTTCTATCCCTGGCAGGGAAATAACAATACTATATTATCTACCACTTGGAAGGCTACTGCAGAGAGGAAAAGCCAAAGCAGTGACTCATTCAGAGATACTATGGGCAGCCTCCAGAGAGGCGATTATAAAAAGTGATGCATTGTACATTCTAATAAAGAAGAGCTTTGCTGTAGACCAGATAGGTAGCAAATGGCATGCCCAGCCACGTTGCGTTTATTCTGCCTTTGCTTTCAATGGGATCTTGGCATGGCTAACTTCACCTGCATTGTACCCTCTAAGTCCAATCACACCTATAATTGCTTGAGGGGAAGGGATTAATATTAGGAGAAACTTTTTTTTCCCAGTTCAAATCTCCCTCCCTGCTATCCCCAGAATTTCATCCTTCAGTTTTTTTAGCAAGCACATTGAATCAAGAGAAAAGTTTGCTTGAAAATATTTCCTTGCTCCCTCCCCCACCCATCCTGGAAGGCATGTCCCCCGTAGAGCATGCCTTATCTCTCCCGTTTATGCATACCCTGTTGAGACCGTGTGCCTATGCTGGTACTAACCCATTCTCTAGCCGTGGCATAAACTTTGGGCTAAAATGTTCTACCCTGTGCTTTGCAACTCAACCCCCCCATCACATCAATAGACCCCCTCCCCCACTTTATCTGCAGAACCCCCTGCCTCAATAGAAAAAATGAATAGGAAGGGGGAGCAATTCAGCTCCAAAAACTGCCCCCTCTAAGCAGTTGGCCAACCCCTCCTTTCTCCACCCCTGGAAATGTGCTGTGCTCTATTCCCACCCCCACCCGTCCCCCACCATGTATGTTCTCTTCCTACTTGCTACTGAAATGGAGTCCCTTGTGCGATAGAGAAGATCAGCCGGCCGACTGCCTGGAGGGGGTTAGAGATAGCCCTGCCTGAAATTGATCACGCCCAGCATCCAGAAAAGCAACAAGCAGTTTGCAAGAGGTTTTCCCCCACCTACCTCGAGAGATAGGCGTAATGAGTGCATGATGGTGAATTCAGGCTCCCGAAAAAGAAGGGGGGGGGAAGAAGCGTCATAACTTTCCTTATTTCTCAAGTGGGAAAGGGGGAGGCAGGGCACAACTCCCTGCGGTCTTGGCCACCTATACATATAGTAACACTGGATCAACCCAGCCAACCAAACTGCCTGGGGAGGTGGGGGATGGCGAGGGGAGGAGTGGAGATGGAATCTAAATTATTTTGGCAGCCAGAGAGAAAAGGGAGCCAGGTCTCTGCCATACGCCCACCCCCAACTCCCACCAAGTCTGGGAAGGTGGAGTTCTTGGCAGGCTGGCATCACACCTCAGACTCTGGCCCATTGTAGCTGGTGTCAGAGGCTCTGGTCAAAATGTCCTGTTGGTGCTGTTGCAGCTACCGATGTGGGGGCTCTTTCTTCTTCTGCTGGTGAGGCAGGTGGGTCTGGGGCAAGTGGATGTGCCCAATCAGACTCAAGGGAGAGCTCACAAAGTTAGCGGTGGAGTGCGAAGTGGCCAGAGTGGGCAGGCAGCACTTCTGAGGGGCTGCCGTCATGGGGAGCACAGCCTCCGATGGGATCAAGAATGCCGGTGCCAAGCGGAGCTGGAAGACCTTAGGAGGTGGCCCATTATTCTGAGCTGGGGCTACTTGAGCCGAAGGTGGAGGAGGAGTTGGAAGTGCTGGGGAGACTGCAGGCTGTTCCTCTTCATAGCTCGGGCTTGGCTTTTCAGGAGTTTTTGCCTTCTCCACCTTCAGGATCTCTTGCAGCTTCTCCAGCTGGGTGCGACGAAGATGGGAGAGCATGCGGCTGTGCTGGAAAGACTCCACAAAGGATTCGATGGGGAGATCCCAACATAGGAACTGCTCCATCTGTTCCTGTGGACAAAGAAAGGAAGATGAAACTGCCATCTGGGATAGTTGGGTGTTCCAAGCAAATTTCAACCACCAGCTCCTCCCAATGGGTTTTTCTGCTGAGCTGCAGACCAGCATGGTGCTTGTTCCCATTCCGTTTACAAAACTAAGCTAAGTGGAAGTTCAACCTTTACTTAGTGCAGAAACATAGAAAATTGACAGCAGAAAAAGATCTAGTGGTCTATTAAATCTGACCTTTGAGTTTTTTATTATGTTTATTTATTTATTTTAATTTTTTTTTGGGGGGGGGTCAGATGACGGACATATATTTATCCCAAGCATGTTTAAACTCAGATGATTGACCCACTACCTTGGCTGGGAGTTAGTTCCAAGCTTCCACTCTTCTTTTTTGTAAAGTAATACTTTCTAACATTATTTTTGAACTTCCGTCCTGTCAATTTGAGGTTATGCCCCGGGTTCTTGATTTTTTGCTTTAATATTGAAAATACTGCCTTCTAGAATCTTATTAGTGCCCTTAATATATTTTAAAGGTTTTAATCATGTCTCCCCCTTTTCCTTCTGTTCTCCAGGCTGGACATATTCAGTTCCTTCTATCTCTTCCAATAGGTTTTGTCTCTCAGAGCTTGCACTTTTTCCTTGCCCACCTCTAGGCTTGGTCAATCTTATATCTTTTTTTAAGTGAAGTCTCCAGAACTGGACACAGTATTCCAAATGAGGGTTTGACTAAAGCCTTATGTAACAGTGGTGATGGTACAGTGAATTTAAAGGCAGAAATGAGTTTAGGAAGTGCAAGGCAGGGTCTGGGTTCCTTCCTATAGTATTTTGCTTATATCCCATCAGGCTCTTCATAGAGACCTGAAATGGACATTTTTCCTCCGTTTGTATCTAGAGCATTTCCTATTCCTTTTGTGCTTGCTGTGATTATAGAAAGACATTCCAAACTGATTTCTGCTATTTCTCGGAGCTTTCTAAATCTCTTGTCGGCTCAGTTTTGCTGAAAATGTATTACAATGTTCAGTGTAATTTAAATTTTGGGTCCCTTGCTTAGAAACGTAGCCTCACATAACTTGTTCTCTCTGGTTGTATTTTTAAGCAGCTCCACTAAAGACAACCAATATATACAATGATTAAGAGTGTTGATTAATGATTAAGAGAGTTGGATTAAGACTGAGAAGATTCCAGCCATAGCCATGAAAGCTCACTGGATAACTTTGGGTTGGTCACTCCCAGCATTCATAAAGTTTTTATTGTTGAAGAAACTGGAGAAGGGAGTGTAATGGAGGGCACTATAAGCCTGCGGAGGACAGGTGACTCAATGGTATGTGAGATTGGTCTCTGGGACATGGGTGGAGTGAAAGATATGCTGCCTAGAGAGCAATTAGATAACAGGGGAGAGAGTCTACAGCTGCATAACAGGCAGAGAAAGAAACTCAAAAAGTAACCTCCCTAACTTATCAGGTTGGAAAAAAAAATCATAGGAGATTCGTTCTTTCAGACTTGCAAGATTCTTGCAAGTTGATGTAACCTTACAATAAAGCAGAATTAGCTCATTTGGCTGTGGACCTTTTCTAGTCAACCTGGGAAGGCTGACAGATTGGATATAAATCTAGAAAACCACTGCATGAAAAACCAGTACATGTATTTATACAACATACTAAGTTTAGTCATTGACCTTAGTTTTTAGGGTGCTGTGTGAATCTAGCTTGTTTAGTTAGTTTATTGTTTAATTTAATTTAATTCATTTATTTAGCTCATTCCTAACTTGAAGTGACTTGGAAAGTGCACAATATAATAAAAAGAATAAAATATAATACCATCAAAAACAAACCAGCAAAAACAAATAAAGATGGCAAATCTGCCCTATATCAAATTTACAAGGAGCCCAATCACCCTAGTCCCTGTGTGTGTGTGTGTGTGTGAAGATGGCCCTTTTATGACTTGTGGACTTCAACTCCCAGAATTCCTGAGCCAGCCATGGCACCCTCCATGGGAGTTGAAGTCCACAAGTCATAAAGGGGCCGTCATTCCCCACCTCTGCCCTAGCCCAAACTCTAGGAGAAGAGCCAGGTCTACAAGGCTCCCTACAATGCTATCATGGTTTAATGTTTTGTGCAAATCCAGAACATGAGTTAATTCATTAATCAAATTAATTACACTGTGTGAATGCAGCTCCTGGCACAATCTTATATGGAACTGCTAATGTATTGGCTCAAAAGGTGATTAAGGGAAGTTGCAAAGTCCATGTCTACATTCAGAATTTGCCATAGGAATACATGGAGGAGAATGAGACCTGGGACAAAAATACAAAATTGACAGATAACCCCACTTCCTTCAGTTGTTCTGAGCTACAATTTCTATAACATTGCTATGCCAATGGGTGCTGATGGGAGCTAGAGCCAAAACAGTTGGAAAGCCCCACACTGCCTAACTCATTTAAGAATGGAAAACAATTCTTTCCTAGCCATTCAAATCAGCACAAATGGAACTAGCATAATTGGCATCTGGGTTCCCTCTATTTTCTTAGCCCCTTGACCATATTCTTTTGAAGGCAAAGATGTAAAACACCCTACAAATACCTGTGTGTACCCAAAAATACACTGCGTAGATATTTAACAGCCATGCATACAGTATCAGGAGCTTAGACTGCTAATCCAACAATGGCATTTGGAAAAGGTTTCTTGGTTATCTCTTAATGGAAAAGAAGCTGTTCCAGTCAAAAGCTCTACAGGTAGTCCTTGACCTAAGACCATAATAAATTCATTGTTAAGCGGTGCATTTGTTAAGTGAGGAACCCGGCAACTGCATCCAATTTTACAACCTTTTTTGCCACAGTCCTTAAGCAAATTGCCCCCAGTCATTAAGTGAGGCATCATGTGACTGTGACTTGTGACCTTCCCCGCTGGCTTCCCCACTACTCTGCTTGCCAGAAGCTCTCTGGGAAAGTCATAAAAGCCAATCATGGGCTGCAATTGTCATAAGTGCGAGCTGGTTGCCAAGCATCCGTATTGAGATTGTATGGCTGCGTGTGACAGTCGTAAGAGCAAAGTCTAGTCATAAGTCACCTTTTTTAGCCCCATCATAAATCTGACTGGCTGCTAAACAAATGGTCACAAATAGAGGACTATTTGCCTGATATGCTTTTGTCTCATTCCAAGTTCATTATAAGAAGGGCAGCTCAGGTGGCTGCAGTACTAAGAGCTCTGCTACTCCTGCAAGGAGAGACTCTAAAAACTCTGGCTATCAGCAGATGGCAGCAGTCAGCTAACTTTGACTGATCTGGAAAGTTAAGTTAGAACATACAGTAGAACATAGAATAATAGAGTTGGAGGTCTTCTAGTCCAACCTCAAGCATCAGCCTTTGTTAACACTTGGATGAGAGACCTCCTGGAATTCCAGAGCTTAGACTAGACAGAAAAGTTGGGGGGAGGGGGGAAATCCTAGAAGTAGGCAGTGGTGAGCCTGGATGTGTCCATGGTGTCACCAGATTTGAGCTTGATGCGAAGGAGGCTTTTTTTAAAATATATAAATGCTGTAGGGACCTATATGTCCCTACAACATCATGCCTCACCTCCACTCCAAGTGTCTTGCTCTCTCTCCCAAGGAGGGGACGACGTTCCATAGCTTGAGTACCACTGAAACAGTCCAACATGTTTAATTTGATATTTGTTGTTGATACGATAATAGTAATAACATAAAGGAAGGGTTCGCACAACACATTGAACCTGGTTACTCAACCTATATTTTTTTAAATGTGCACAATACATTGAACCTAAACTAACCAAACAGGTTGAGTGCTTAGCTAAGAGATAAAAACAAAAAGTGCTAAAGTTAACCCTACACGTTTGGTATGTTGTGAGAATGCAGTCACTAGGTCTTTCATTGGCCTAGTTCTTGTGTGTTGTGTGTCTGCAACTATAGCCAAATAGATAGTCTGTGACAGCTAAAAAGGTGGTTCAAAGCTCCATACTGGCCACAAGCCAAGTCTTGAGAGATGCAGCTTGGAAAAGCCATATCACTGCACATCCCTGAAGCCCAAAGTTCAGGTAACAAAAAGGGCCTCCTTCTCAAGCTTAGACAGAAGCAGAGAAAAACTCTCTTGTTTCCCTTCCTTGTCTGTCACACCTCTGCCTTTCCTGGCACAGGCTGGAACAAGTTTGGGAAGCTGACCTTTGATGGGATGGCCTGGAGAAAGGTGGCCTGGAGTCATTTTCCTCTTATCTCTATGTGGGCAGAAGATTCAAAGGAAGACACTTATTTTTTTTATATAAAAAAAGAGGACTTCTGGGAGCAGCCTGGGGGAAGACAGCCTAGCTTCTTCCTCATGACTCACCTCTACTTTGGCCTCTACGTTCTCCAGTTCAGCCTGTAGCCTGCTCAGGGCATTCTCTGGAGTCCACTTTGCCATACACGCACCTGTTAGACAAAGGACAAGTTCAGCTTGTCAAGTTCATGTCACCCAGCTGTGTTGTGATCCTTGCACCATGGCAGGAAGGAATGTCAAACAGAGTGTGCTCCCTAATGTTTGCAAGCAGAATATAATCCCAGGTTGCCAACTCCGAAGAGAGAGACTATAATGGCGCCTTCAACTTCTGTCTTCTCGTTCTCCTGTTGAACGGGACTGGAAGGCTACATCCTATAGGGACTGATTCAGGGATGGGGCATTTAGCTTTGAGGAAAGATGGCCAAGAAAGGATAGAATAGCATTCACCAGGTACTTGGAGGTTTATCGTAAGAAGAACGTCAAACCTGCTGTCTCTCATTCCATACTGGAGGATGTGGGATGCAGTAATGGATTAAATTACAGGAGGGCCCAATTTAATGTTAGATAGCACCCCCCCCGTCATGTATTTGAAATGTGTGCCCATATGAACCAAACCAAATCTAAATCAAATCCAAATCCAAATCCAAATCAATTCAGAATGTGTCTTCAAAAAGCCAAGAGGTGTGATTGTACAATGGAAGCTTTTTATGTGTGTCACATACAAAAATGAGATGGGACTTCAATTAGTTAGTTCATAACCATTATCTTGAACGTTTTGGAACACTCCCCCGCCATCTACCAGCACTAAGATCTATATGGTCCCTTTCACCTTCAAAATTCACGATTCAGTTGGAGCTTGTAACAGGTTGGTCCTTGTGTTCACATATGATCAAAGAACTAGAGGCATTTGCTTATATACAGTATTTATATACTGCTGATTCTCCATGGATTTCTGGAGGTTCACAAAATTGAACATTAAAACAATGAAAATCGGTAACCCAATTACATAAAATATCTCAGCATCGGTACTGATTGATCACATCCAATCTTTAAAAATTGCAAATTAATTAACACTATTAAGAGCTCTACAGAAAACTCTGCTTTGAATTTCTACAGGAGGGTGCCATTTGGTTCTCCAGGGATAAACTGTTCCATAGGGATGGAACATCAAATGAAAAACTCTGAACTTTTTTTTTTTGTCCCCCCCCAAAATCACTCAAGAGGGGTAGAATCTCGAATTCTCAACTTGTGAGTAACACACCAGCTAGGTTGTTCCCATGCAATGGTGGTAGTCCAAGAAGTAACTCAGTGCTGTGCCATTTGTAGTTTAAAATCAGTACAGGTAGTCCTTGACTTATGACCACAATTGAGCCCAAATTTTCGGTTGCTATATGGTCCCAACTTCAAAATTCATGATTCAGTCGGAGCTTGTAAAAGAATTGTAGGGTGGGCCTTGTGTTCACAAATGAGACGTTTGTTAAGTGAGCTTTGCCCCAGTTAATGACCTTTCTTGCCACATTTGTTAAATGAATCACTTCAGTTATTAAGTTAGTCACACAGTTGTTAAGTGAATTTGGCTATCCCGTTGTCTTTGCTGGTCAGAAGGTCGCAAAAGGGGATTCCCATGATCCCGGGATACTGCAACCGTCATAAACATGAGTCAGTTGCCAAGCAGTCTGAATTTTGATCACATCAAAATGGGGATGCTGCCACAGTCATAAGTGTGGAAAACCTTTCAAGTGGCACTTTTTCCAGTGCCGTTGTAACTTCAAATGGTCACTAAATGAACAGTTGTAAGTTGAGGACTACCTGTACTTTAAATTGTACTTACTAGCCTGACAAGAGCCTATGCAATGACTGTGGAATGGATAAGGATGACACTAATGGATTTGGGTACCTGTGTCTACACCAGCATCAATTTCTCAATGTTCTTCAAAAATTGGGTCTACAGGTAATCTTTGACTTGCAACCACAATTGGGACAAGAAAATTTGTCATTAAGCCAGGCGCTTGTTAACTGAAACACCACACGACCACACCTGATTTTTTTTCCTGGTATGATCATTAGGGGAATCATTGTGGTCATTAAGCAAGACATCACATGACCTGACTTGTGACCTTCCCTGTGGGCCTCTCCAGTGACTTTGCTTGTTGGAAGTCTGCTGGGAAGATCCCAAATGGGGATCCCATGACTGCAGAAGGCTGCAGCTGCAATAAGTGCAAGCAGCCAAGTGCCAAGATGACAACAGCATTAATAGCAATAACACCTAGACTTATATGGCGCTTTGCAGTGCTTTACAGCCCTCTCTAAACAGTTTACAGAGTCAGCATATTGTCCCCAACGATCTGGGTCCTCGTTTTATTGATCTCAGAAGGGTGGTTGGCTGGCAACTGCAGGACAGGGATGCTGTGATGGTCATAAGTGCAAGGAGCAGTCATAAGTCATTTTTTTCAGTGCTGTTGTAACTTCAAATGATTGCTAAACAAAGGGTTGTAAGTCGAGGACTACCTATGTACCTTCTGGAGATAAGATGCCCCATGATTCCTGGGCAATCATGGAAGGAAAAGAGGGATTGGGGTCTCTGCAGGTGGCTCACCTCTGGTCTCCTTTCACACACCCATCCTCTGTTTCCCAGGATCTAAATCAGGGGTGTCCGACCTTGGCAATTTTAAGGCCTGTGGACTTCAAATCCCAGAATTCCCCAGCCAGCCATCTAGATCTAGGTTGTATTGAGGCTAGGTTTGCATCGATGCTTATCTAATCCAGTTAAATATATAATGCCTGTATCAGTATAGCACAGTTCTCAACCTGTGAGTCAGTACCCCATTTGGGGTCGAACGACCATTTCATGGGGGTCGCCAAACGCAGTCCGCCATTTTTTTGCCCCTTTTCCTTAGCTGTGCTACTCCCTTTTATTCTATTGGCTTTTGAAAGCCAATAGAATAGACTCTCTTGAATAGAGTCTAATTCTATTGGCTTTCAAAAGCCAATAGGAATTGTCCAGGCTGTCTCTGCCCTGCTGAGCTCGCCAAAAGTCCCATTCTGCAAACGGTGCTGCACCAGTTGAGTAGTCCTCGACTTACGACCGGTTGGGGGTGGCGGCATTAAAAAGGTTGAGAACCACTGGTATAGCAGCTGATACTGGAGGAATTTTAACTTTGATTTGCTTTTCACGGTTCAGCATGTTATGCATGACACTAGTCAGTGTGATTAAATTATGGTTTGGTAGGTAGTACAAAGTCAGTAAATGGGTTAACCATTTTAAGCATAGCTGTGGCCAGTACCCCCAAAGCCAACCACTACAGAACTCTTTCTCTTCTTTTCCTTAGAGTGCCAGGAGATCCTCAAGACAAATCTTGATTGGTTTTAATCATAACTTACTGAATAAACCACAACTGACATCCTGCACACTCAGCTGTACAATATGGTTTACAAGCCAAACTAATAACAAATACAAGTAGTCCTCGACTTGCGGCCACAACTGAGCCCAAAGTTTCTGTTAAGTGAAATGTATGTTAAGTGAATTTTGCCCCGTGTTATGATCTTTCTTGCCACCGTTGTTAAGTGAATCACTGCAGTTGATAAGTTAGTAACCCGGTTGTTAAGTGAATCTGGCTTCCCCACTGACTTTGCTTGTCAGAAGGTCGCAAAAGTTGATCACGTGACCCTGGGACGCGGCAACCGTGATAAATACATGCCAGTTGCCAAGTGTCCAAATTTTGGTCACATGACCATGAAGATGCCACAATTGTCCTGAATGTGAAAAATGGTCATAAGTCACTTGGTGCCGTTGTGACTTTGAACAGTCACTGAGCAGTGCTCATTTTATACCGGGATGCAAAGATGAAGCTGAGCATCCTCCATTCTACTTATTGATTTGTAACTAGTTTTCAGTAGGAGACTGAAATGAATTCAAGATTCGTTCCTATAGATGAATTTACTGTAGATGGGAGTGAAGTGGCTCATGGGGTTAGGACACTAAACTGCTGATATGCAGGCTTGCGTTTGAGACCCACTGCTGCTGCAAAGCCTCTGAATTTTGATCACAGGGTCATGGGGATGCTGCAAAGGTCATAACTGTGAAAAAGAGTCATAAGTCACATTTTTCAGTGCCATTGTAACTTTGAATGGACATTAAACAAACTGTTGTAAGTTGAGGACTACCTGTACAAGTAAACAAACCACATTATTGGGTTAGGAACAATTCTAAATCTGGTTTCTACATAATGCTGGGACAATGGGAGGAAAGCTTCCTCATTCTGTTCCTTGCCTGTCATTAGATTTCTCTTCTCTGTGATTGGGGAAACATGCAGAGTGATAGCTGTATCTCATGTGTCAAACATCCCGCATGTTATAGACTGAGAGAGGAGGAGAGGTGGGTTGTTTTCTGCTGTGCTCTTTTTCTTTTAGTCTGTCTCTTTCTTTCTCCAACTCCAGGGAGGGTTTAGACCAGGGGTAGGCAACCTTGGCTCTTTTATGACTCGTGGACTTCAGCTCCCAGAATTCCTGAGCCAGCATGGCTCAGCTTGGAAACCTCTCCCTTCTCCTCAGCATGGCTGGCTCAGGAATTCTGGGAGTTGAAGTCCACGAGTCATAAAAGAGCCAAGGTTGCCTACCCCTGGTTTAGACTTTATAAAGCAGGGTGATCCCCAAGAGGTGTCTTCCCAAATATCACATACAGGTAGTCCTCCATTTATGACCAGAATTGAGTCCAAAATTTCCGTTGCTAAACAAAAAAACTTGTTAAGTGAGGACTACCTGTACTGAACTCAAGTTGAAATCTGTAATCCAAACACAATGTCTCAGCTCACTAAAATTACATATCTCTCTTTCACATGTTGCATTTACAGTGGGAGAAATACTTCGTTGTCCAAAGCAGCTGAGGAATTCTGGGAGTTGAAGTTCACACCCCTTAAAATTACCTAAATTTGAGAAACACTTTTCCAGTGCAAAGAAACACTTTCAGCATAAAGTTGTAGAGCCCTCACTTTGCATGTTCCTCCATCTATTTATCTTTCCAGTTGTGCCCAGGGAATAGGGGGTAAAAGGAAATAGGGAAAGGGGATCTACACAATTGTAGTAAACTGAAATTTGATAAAACCAACTGTGATCATAGACCAGGCCTACCCATTATGAATAAGACCAAACTTCTTTACAACTATTATCAACTGGTCTACTTTTGGAATCCTAACTTTGCAAGGTAGGCTTGATTTAAAAGGAGGCAAGCTGTCATGAATGAAAGATGCTCTCAGGCCTGCAAAAGTCCAAACCACTAAGAAATGTAATTGCCCTCTGCTAATCATCTAGAACAGAGTTTCTCAACTTTAGCAATGTTAAGATTGGTGGACTTCAACTCCCAGAATTCCCTAGCCAGCAATCAATGTTGAGAAACACTGATCTACATTAAGGCAGTCCAGATCTAATAGTACTCTGGGAGAAGGTGGGGTGGGGGAGAAAGGAAGACACCAACTGTTGCTCACCCAAGCGCTGCTGTTTGTCATGACAGGTTTCCCGTAGCTCCTGCAACTCCTGGTATTTGATGGCGAGCGAAGCTTTGCCGTTTTCTAGCCGAGGCTGCAAGCCCAAATTTTGCTTGGCAAGGTTATAGTTGGAAGCCAGGTGCACCTCCCGCTCCAGCTGCAGGTTCTGGAACTGAAAAGACACATATTTAATGAGGGCCTGGGCCAGGCCGAAAGGTCTCTGTCTGGTTATCTGTTCAGCTTGTCAGAGTTTCTTTGGTTATCCTGAGTATACAGTGCAGAGTTTTCCCATGAATGCATGGAGAATAAGATTTGAACTTATCACCCAAATAGGGAAAGCCACTTTCCCTGCTAAAAACAGTGTGCATGTTTAGCAACCCCCTTTGCAATCCAGCTTGATATTCTTGCTGTTTTTCTCCAAGCTGCTGTTCTACAGATCTTTAGATCCTGGCTTCCTTCTGTATCTGGCAGCTTATCATCCTCATTTGAGTTACATTTCTTTGCTAATCTTTGCTTTGCTGTCTGCACTCTTGTCTGGGTTGTCTGTTTATAAAGGTACAGATTTATGCACTATGCTTATTGATGGTTTTGCTGGTATCCCCACCACCACCCTTTGAGATTCAAAATACATTTGAGCCAAAGCTGTATAGATACAGTATTTAACAATAGAATATGAAGATACAAATTACATTTTTGTTACGAAGTGATTTTGACTGATTCAGTACAAAACAGTAAAAGAAGCAGTTTAGAAGCACCCATAGTGCTTGAGTCTTGGAGCGATATATTGTGGAGAAATAACTTCACCATAGGAAATTCAACAGCTGTGTTCATACAACATGCTGAAGCAGGTCATAAAAAGTCTTTCTCGATGCAGCATACAAACTTTGATAATGTTAACTAAATGAATTGTGTGGTTAGTCATGGTTCAGAGTGTTGTTCAAACTAGATAGTGGATTAACTTGGTAACCAAGTTAAAAAACTAATGTGAATGGACCTATCAAGCTGGTCTGAATGGATGCCTAAAATATGTCTAATTATTCAGCAGCTACTACTGCTACCACCAATATAAATCAGGCCTAAAGAATGTTGTGCTCAGAAGTCATGGATTTTAATCTCCAGGAAATGGCCACTTTAGGAAAGAGACCAACTTTCAGCTTTCTACAATCCGGAGCTAAAACTCTTACCTATCTTAGAAGGCTGTTGTACCTATGAGTAGAAAAAAACAACTCCAAAGGATTAGATAAATGAACCACTCATACAATTTGCTGAAGAGAGTCATTTAAAATCCTGGTGGGTGCATGGGCATAACTTGCAAGGTTGAGTTAATTTTAATTTTGGTTCGGGATTTTCTGTGAGATTTAATGTATTGTGCAAGTCCAGAAAAGAAGTGTTAATTGTGTGAATGCAATCAGTGGGCATTATGTCACACTTTCATTCTGGGAGTTCAACTAATGCTCCTTATTAATGATGCAAAGGGAAGTGGATTTTTTTTCCTACTAAATTCAAATTAATATTGGACGTTGGAGCCAGATATTCCCCTGATTATTAAAGTTTTATAATTTTTCAAATACACTTTTGGCAGATGTATATTTAGGCCTCCCCTAATAACATGGGTCCTTGGAGAGGTTACTCCGGTCTGTTTTTGTTCCTTCATACTAGCCAACTCCAAACCCTCTTCATGAAGGAAGAGTATCTCAGGAGCTTGGCCAGCTATCCTCTGTCACCAACTGGCATTCAATCACTGAATGTGCTTCACTGTTTCTGGCTGCAGCAAGCATAGAGCCACTGAGAAGCTGCCAAAAGATTATTCTTCTAGAGCTACTGCCCTTATTAAACCTTTGAGCAAACCAGAATAACAGACTTGGGAGGGACCTTGGAGGTCTTCTAGTCCAACCCCCTACTCAAGCAAGAATCCCTATACCATTTCAGACAAATGATTGTCCAATCTCTTCTTAAAAACCTCTAGTGTTGGAGCATCCACTGATTAATTGTTCTAACTGTCAGGAAATTTCTCCGAGGTTATTTCTCTCTTTGATTAGTTTCCATCCATTGCTTCTTGTCCTGCCTTCAGGTGCTTTGAAGAATAGGTAGATACTTCCCCCCCCCTCAATTAAGCATTAGATCTATTGGGGGAGTACAACCTTCAAGTAAAAGTTACTATTTACTGACATGGTAAATATTTACTGACTATTTACTGACTTGGTAAACCAAACTGTGAGTTCTCTATGGGAGTCTTGAAACTATGACAAATTGCCCTAAACCTAAAAGGTAACATTTTGGGGTGGTCTTCTAGTAAATATGCTGTATAGTATTTGTGGTTTATCTTGTACGTCACTTAAACTCATGGGGAAGACAAATGTATTTATTGGACCATTTTGGAGTTAGGGGGGGGCATTGGGGATGGTAAACTATGGGGAAAAATTTTGACCATCTTGATGGGCAATTTTTCAGAGGTGCTGGGTTTTTGGTGAGATCTAGCAACTCAGTACCCCTGTTCACACAATACGCTGTCTTGGTAACTGAATTAACCAGTCTGTTTTGCACAGGACACTGAACCATAACTCTCCAAAGAGGCTGGGTTCACACAACATACTAAGCAACAAAAGACTAACCAAGATTAAAATTAATGATAATTAGCACAATGATTGAGAGCAAGCCGCTAAGTCTTCTAATTGACCCGGTTAAGGATTTTGTACCAAGGCAGCCGGCATTGCCTTGAAAGCACACCAAGGGCAGGAGCTGGGAATACCCAGCTTGTCTGAACTGACAAAGCTATTGCAAAAGTGAGGCTGTTTTTCTGGCCATTGTTGGAAAGGAGGCAGAGAAGGTGCCTTTCCAAAATCAACAGCCTCAACGTCTCCTTGTGAGGATGGATGACAACATGTGTGACGTTGCAACTGTGAGACCAGGAGCAGATTCCAATGAAGGTCTGGGGGCCACAAAAAGGGGTGGGGAATTCCTGCAATTGGGGGGGGGGGACAAGGAGGAAGTTAGCTGGATGCCAAATAAATAAGGGAAAGAAGGGGGGAGGTTTTGCTTTGTTTCCACGCCTGTCGAAAGGCAAAAATCATACGCCATTTATGATGAAAATGCCTGACATGCTCTGGCACTTAATTCGGCAACCTTTCTCTATTACCCAGCACAAGACATGTTGCCTGCCTGGCTAGACAGTCAACACCCCCCACCCCCAACCCCCGCCCGTGTTTCCATGGCTGAGTCAATGAGGCTTTGCTGGATGTCGGAAAAGAAATCCCTTTCTTTTCAGCACCGAGAAACAAAAAGAAACAAAACAGGGATCTGTGGTCACCATTGTGGCTGATTTTTGCCAGAGAAAAAGAGGGAAGGGAGGGTCTGGTCCAGGATGGGTCTACTCTGCCAAGACAAAAGCAATGAGGCCTTGGGACCATTCTCTCCCCCCCCCCCGCCACAAACCATCACACCCACACCCTCCCTGGATGACTCCATCTCCAGGACACCAAACAGACAGAGGCTTCTTCTCGGCATTTCTTCTGGCATAATAAATGGGGTGTATTTCAAAGAGTGTTGGGGGGGCAAGACTGCTTTTCAGGGAAAGGAGGGGGCTGAGTGACAGGTGGGTGGAGAAGACCAAAATCCGACAACAGTCCACAAAGGGGCCTATAGCATCTCTGGGGGCTGGAGAGATGGAACCAGAGTAGCAGAACACCTCGGTTCAAACTGGATCCCAGTGGCAGGTTTTAGAGGTGGGACAGGGAGATACGGGGTGTCTTTTAATCCCTGGAGCTAGCAGAATGGGATGAGAAGGGGATAGATCTTCCAAGGGCATATCCAACAGTTGGGGCTAGAGGGCCTTCCCACCTGGGGCCCGGCTATCATCTTTGAGTCTTGTGCATTTGGGCCAACAGCTTCTGTGAAAAGGCCGAAGGTCTGGGCATTGTTTCTGGCACCAAGCGTAGGCCTGGCTGGACTGGCACTAGCCCCCTCCCGTACCAGACTCCCAGCCCCCTGGCAACCAGAGCTGCCTTTGCTGCAAAAGGGGTCGGGTGACACAGCCCCAGGGGTGCCATGGGCAGTCTCGGCGGGCATCGGTGCCCCTTCGGATGCTCGGATTATTTTCCAAGGGGGCGGGGGCGGTCTTTGTATTTGGATGGAGAGGGATGACTGCTGGGGTCGGAGGAACGCAAGCCGCGGGTGCGTGCAGCCGAAGACCCCGCTGGAAAGCAGGGTACCACCCTCCCCCCTCTCTTTCTCCCCTCCGGAGGGCCCGATCCTCTCCTCTCCTGGGCGTCCAACCCGGGAGCCGCGGCTTTACCTTCCTGCTTAGCTTGACGATGCGCTCGAGCCAGGTTTCGTCCCGCATGAGGGCGCGGAGTTGCGCGGTGCTGAGCGCCCCGAAGCCCAGATCTACCGCCGAGGCCCGCGGGCCCCGATCGCGCTCCATGATGTGGACGGAGCAGACGGAGCGGCCGCACCTGGAGGAGCGGGATCCTGCACCTGCACCTGCACTGCCGTCGCAGACCGCCAGAGGGCGGCCCCGCCGCTCTTAAAGGGGCCGCCTCCGCCGAGCTTCCGTTGTTTCGGCTGGGGAGGGTGGGCGCGGCAGAAAGACGGCGCAGGCGGCGGCGAAGGAGGGCGTTAATTGCACGTGCTGGGCAGCCCCCTCCTCTCAAAGGAGGAGAGCAAACAAAGGGGAGGGGGCTCTTCTGCCTGGAAGGCAGATGGAGTGTCTGAGCATGTGTGAAGTACCCAGCCCGTCGCCGCGTGCGAGTGATCTCGAGGGAGAGAAAGAATAAATTCTGCGCCGTGAAAATTGGGCTGTCGCTTGATGACTACAAGCGTGTGTCACCTCTTTGTGCTAAGCTTTAGATATGCAAGGCCATGGAGGCAGGAATGCCGGCCTGCCTCGCTGGCTTGTTGTGAGGTTTAGCCTGTTGCATTTATGTATTATTAACTTATTTAATCCTCCGTCAGCCTTAGAAGGAGTCCGAAGCAGGGTATAAGGAGTAACTCTTCATGGTATCCTCGTAACGACACTGTGAAGTAGGCCGGTGCTGGGCAAAATTAACAGGTCTCAGATGATGATGATGATGATGATATAAATTTATATACTGCTTGGTGCTGAGTTCCATGGTCCAGTGGGAATTTGAACCGAGGCCCCATTTGACCTTTGGTGCAATTAATGTTCCTAGTAGATGGTTTAAGCTCCTTTTATAAATCCATCAAAATGCCAATCTAGATGGTTCCCTGGCATTTGGGAAGGGTTTCTCTTGGTTGGAATGCCACCCCTGTGCTAACTTTCCTGAATGAACTTCATCAAACTCTTTGGTGATCATAGTTCCCAGGGTGGTTATAAACATTTATTTGTTGAATTTATAAAGCTGCCCATCTCGTGTGTGGGTTGGTCTAATAGAGGGATAGAATAAAGAGCACATAAAGTTCTAGTACAGTGGTTCTCAACCTTTCTAATGCCGTGACCCCATAATACAGTTCCCCATGTTGTGGTGACCCCCAAGTGGGTGTGGCCACCAATAAGAGGGAGTAGGACTGCTAGGGAAAAGGGAAAAAAATGGCAGACAGCGTTGTTTGGCGACCTCCATGAAATGGTCGTTCGACCCCAAATGGGGTCCCGACCACAGGTTGAGAACCACTGTTCTAGTACCATTTTACAAAGCCTTGGTAAGAGCACACTTAGAATACTGCATCCAGTTCTGGTCCCCACAGTATAAAACAGATGTTGACACTGTGGAAAGAGTGCAGAGAAGAGCAACAAGAATGATTAGGGGCATGGAAGCTGAAACATATGAACGGTTACAGGAATTGGGTATGTCTAGTCTAATGAAAAGAAGAATTAGGGGAGACATGATAGCAGTATTCCAATATTTGAGGGGGCTCCTACAAAAACGAGGGTGTGTGTGTCAAAGTATTTTCCAAAGTACCAAAAAGCAAACAAGAAACAATGCATGGAAATTAACCAGAGAGAGAAGCAACCTAGAACTAAGGAGAAATTTCGTAAGAGTAAGAGCAATCAACCAATGGAATAGCTTGCCTTCAGAAGTTACAGGTGTTCCATCACTGGAGGCTTTTAAAAAGGGACTAGACAACCATTTATCTGAAATATAGGCTCTCCTACTGGAGCAGGGGTTTGGACTAGAAGACTTCCAGGTTCCTTCCAACTCTATTATTTTATATGCTATGGTCACATGATTAAAATAGAGCAAAAACTATTGAAACTATTACAACAAAACAAAAAGTATAAAAGAAAATATGGGAAAATGCAATCACAATCTTACAGCCATTTTGTGGACTTGGTATTTCCATAGGATCCCCAGGGCCAATGGCAAAACCAGGTTGTAAGGAACTTCTGGAAGGTCAGAAGTGTCAGGGCCACTCTGACCTTGGGGTGGAATCATGCTACAAAGGGTGAGTGCCACACCAGAAAAAGGCCACCTCCTGGGTCCCATCAAATAAGTAGACAAAACCTATAACATGCTCCTCCTGCCAGATGGGTAGATGGTTCCTCAAATAACCAGGCTCCATGGAGAGTAGGGTATGAAAGATCCCCAGCATCTTGTATTGAAGCAAACTAACAACTAGTGCAACTTGCTTTCAACTTTTTAAAATTTATCTTCGGTTTCAGAAAGGTTTTGCCGAAGAGTCAAATTTCTAAGAATAGCTGGAAAGTGGATTTTAAGTAAAGACCCTCATAAATTAATCCTGACTCCTGGGGTTATTTTCTTGGCAACGGTCAGTAAAGAAATTTGCCGCTACATTCTCTCTGGTTGTTTTTCCATCTTCTTAGTCTAGTCTACAGCTCTGACATATCCTGGTTTCCCATCCTAACCAGGTTCTGCTTAGCTTAAGATCAGCCAAGATTATCTAGGTGGTGCAATTTATAGTAAGCATGTGAATCCAATCATGTGACATGAGACATTTATTTTTTATTCCATGGGCTCTTCAGCTAAAAGTAAAAGATGTTAGGCACCCACTTGCTGGTCTCCCTACAAATATCTAAATCTGCTGTTAAGAAAACCTTCAAGGTCCCTTCCAACTTTGTTATTCATTTGTTCATTCTTACATTCAATTTATATGGCCATCCACCTCAACAAATGATTCTGGGTGTTGAACAAAATTAATAAATAAAGTAAAAGCATTTACAATAACCCAATGCTAATGTACATAGTGGCCAAGAATAAATCATACACCATATAGTCCTCGCTTAGCAACTGTAATTGGGATTGGCAACTTGGTCATTAACAAAGCAGTCGCTAAGTGAAATTGTGACTCTGTGTATGATCTTACTTCAGTTTTCCTTTGTTTTACAGAATTGCAAAGGTCATAAATGCAAAGATAGGTCACAAAGTTTCTTTTTCATTACTCTTGTAATTGTGAACAGTTATGGTACAACACAGTAAGCAAGCTAGTATGTATGGTGCCCTTTTGTGCTTCTTTAGGGTTTTTAATTATACATTTCACCACCTATCTGAATTCATCACAAATTTATATACTGCCAATTTCTGATGGACTCAAGGCAATTTATAAAATAAAAAGTACATATAATAAAACACCACTAGGCTGAAACGCTTGATGAAGTAGCCAAATCTGAAGCAATTTATGAGTTTGGGGGTGCTCTGTATTTTCAGAGGCAATATGTGCTACAGCAGTGATGGCGAACATTTTAGAGACTAAGTGCCCCAAAACTGCCCCTGCCCCTGTTCTACTCCCTGCCCCGTCCCCACTCCACCTGCCCGCAGGGCCACTCATCGTCTCCAGGGCCTGTCACAGATCGCCCACGCAGCCTAGCAGCGCCATGGCAACCATGCCCTCTGCCCGTGCCCCGCAGCATCAACTGCGCAATCGGGTGTGAGGGCAGAGTCTTGTCTACGCTGCCTGGCAGCCATGTCCTTGGCTGTGCTGCTCCGCATGGGCCACACTCGGGGGCGAGTCTCCTCCCGGGGGGCTGCTGGTGAGGGAGTCGTGGGGGAGGCAAGGCTGGGGCAACAGCATGTGTGCCCACAGAGAGGGCTCTGAGTGCCGCCTCTGGCACCCGTGCCATAGGTTCGCCACCACTGTGCTGCAGCATGTGTCAGCTTCAGAAAAGGTCTATCACTGATGTGGGATCTTGTTTGGTAATGTCATCTTAATTTTAAATTCTTACAATTTATAAGACGCTTTGGGTATTTTAAAAATATGGACAGGTATGTAATGGAGAAATGAACAAAGTAAAACATTGAAAATTAGAAGTGGTAGAATTGTGTGATCTCTTAGAAAGTTTCCAGTGGGTGTGGAGAATAGTTGATGTCATAATCTAACAGAATGACATCATTGCTTTATGATCTTGCCGGGCTCGTGTAGAACTGATGAAATAAAGGGGCCATATTAGAAGAACCAAGTGCTTTATGAAAGGCATTGAAATGGCCCACTGTTAGAATGGAAAAGGTTAGTGTGAAATTCAAGGTGAAATCCAAGGAAAATTGATCAATGTAAAGTATCTAAATGACAAAAGATCACCTGGCAAGTGAGATGTCTCATGTTATTCCAGTAAACATAGCTTATGATCCATATCAAAGCCCATATTCCCATCATGATAATGAACCTCCAAGGATGGTTTCGCCTCAGAGGGAATGGACCCTTAGTCCACAGTCGCATCGAAGGAGCAGCCCTCTAGTGGCACTTCTCTCTCCGCCAAGAAGCGAGATGTCTAAAACTGCTTCACCCCAGAGAGGAAGTGACATCAATCGGAGCACCTCTCCCCACAGAGGAAGTGAAGCTTCCCAGGGCACATTTCCCCAGAATGTTTATCCTCAAAGAGGAAGGTTAAATGAAGCTCCCCGAAGATCTTGTCCCACAGGTTCCTCCACACGGAGAGGGAGTGAGGTCTCACAGGTTACTGCTAATGTTCAGAAGGGTGGTGAGACTTCCCAAAGGCTGTCTTCTCCAAGAGGATCGATCCCCACTTCTTCAAGCCCTTCTTCACAGAGAGAGAGTGAGCTTTCTCAGATTTCTTCATTTCAGCAATCAAATGATCCAGCACAGAAGATTCCTCCTCAGAAAGGAAATAATACCACCAGGAGTGCCTTACCGTACAAAGGGATGGAGGTCCTGTCAAATGTCTCACCCCAACGAGGAAGTGAGTTCCCTCAGAGTACTTCCTCAAGGCGAGGGAACCAATTAAACCAGAATACTTCACCCCAAAGAGAAACCAACCTTCCACAACAAGGAAGGCCAGCAGTCCGAACCGTATCTCCTCAAACTGTCATGGACTCTCATAGAAAATTCTCCATCCAACCTGGGCAGGTTAAAATGACAGCTAGTCGTATGCTTATAGCAATGAAGCAAAGCCTGAATTCACAAAGAGATGAGATATGCCAGAAACTCCGATCGGTATCAACTTCAGAGAAATCTGAAATGGAAAATAAATATATGCCTTTCATCCCAGTGTGGAATGACTCCTTTCCATCAATCACTCAATACTTTGAAAAACCTGGTCACAGCCTAAAGGATGCATGGACTCAAACATCCAAGAATGCTTCTCAGTTAGTGACTGAACTGGGACAGCAATATATATCCCGAACCCCAAAGAAATTAATCCGTAAATATGTTCCCAGTCCAAAAGATAAATGTATTCAAACAGAAACTGTTTACCAGGACACCTTCTTTTCAAAAAAGGAGACTCCTCATTTAGAGATGTGGACTAGAACAACCCAGACACCTTTTCCTGGAGCAGAAGCTAGGTCCAAAGCATCCCCAGTGCCAACTGTCATGATATCTTCTTATCATTCAGAAATGAAACCCAATTATAAGTGTGCTTTCCATTCAGAACGTGAATCAGATTATATGAAGCCATTCCATCAAGAGATGGACACAGTCCATAAATATTCTGTCTCTCCAAAGTCTGAGTTACTTCATCAAACTTCTCTCTCCACAGAGGCTGAGAAGAGAAAGACCTCTCTCCTAACATGGACTGAACCAGTATGCCAGCATGTTGTACCTACAGAGCCCAATCTAAGAAGGAACCTCCAAACAAAACATGAATTGACCCAGGAAACCAAAAGGCCTATCATCCACCCGGAGACCGAGTCTGAGTATCGTTGTCAGCTCCACCAACAGATGGATGCAATGGCCTCCAAACCTGTTCTTTCTCCTGGAGATGAATCACTTCCCTGGGTCCCAGTTTCTACCTCAAATATGAACATCAAAGAACATTACCCTGCTCACAAAGGCTCTCTACGGCAAAACAAAGAAATAAGAAGATATAAGGAGAAGAAAGCAGTGCCTAACTCAACCCACCAGAGCTCCTTGTGGTGTGAATCCCTACCAAGTGACCAAAATTCATTCCACAGTAAACCTGCTTTTCATCCAGAAAGTGAATCCGAGTATAGGTGTATGCTACATCAACAACTGGAAGCAGCCCAGAAGCAGTGCTTTGCACGAGGAGCTGAGCTCCTGCCTCAGAAGAACTTGCACACCGGAAGGCCTGAAACTACACCCAAGGTCATACCTGCATTTCACCCAGGGAATCTTGACACCACTTGGCTGGCTACAGTGAATATTGACAAGGAGTCTTACTTAGATGAAAAACCCACTTTGAAGTACTCTCTTCATCCCAAGGCAGAAACAAACCTCAGAGCCTTACCACAGACAGAAGTTGCCAGGACCAGTGGAATCTTACCTCCACGGTGTCTCGAGAAGTTTGGACCTCAGTCACCTTGGTGGTCTTTACTTCAAGCAGACACTAATGACCTTTTTCCAGAGTCGAAGAAGCACACCAATCTACCAGCGCCAGACTGGATGGAGACATACAGAAGCTTCTCGGTTCCAGAGCCTAGGGAGAATTGCACTGTCCACCTAGCTCCAGACTGCCGAAAGATACAGTTCAGTGTACCAGCTCAGGAACATTTATTGGATAAGCCGTCTATGGAGTCAGAGGCAGTTTTGGATTTCCCATCAGACTGTGTTACAGTCCCAAGGAAAAAGCAGGCAATAATGACAGTGCGCTCAGAAAAACAACCTACTTCCTTGGCTTCACAGTTTGGAGGCCAAGGACCAGAACGTGCAATCTACAACAGTGAGGCTGATGACCTCCTCAAGTTACAGAGAGGGAAATCAGTTGCCAGGTTTAGTGCTTTCTTTGTGGGTATGTTACCGAAGTTTAAACTATGCTTACTTCTTGTCCAAGAGGCAGCAGAAAGTCTTGTTGCTCTCCATAGCAGGCATTTATTGTTCAATTGTGATGAGTGCAGTTCTACTGCTATAGCTTTAATGAGCAACGTTATTGTATATGGTAAGAGCCATCATTGGTAATTTCCTTGGTTACAGTTCCTGCTCTGTCCATCTTAACCACCATGTGGAAATTCTCTCTGCTTGCCATGCACAACTCTTTGGATATCTTGTGTTGTAATGTTAATTTTTTTTTTCATTCTCATTGTACCATCAGTCAGTTGAACTTTTTCATAGTTCCTTGAAACTGTGGGTTGACTGGTCAATCATGTGATGTATTGACCACTAGGTGGTAGCAAAGAAGGTTTTTGTGTCTCATGCCTGCCATCTGTGGTCATCCATATTTTGCAGCTGTCAGATAATACTGTCAAAGAGCTGGAGTATGAGAAAGGGGGTTGCGTTTGGGGAGTAGTGTGAAGCTATAAAGTGCCTTAAGGACAAAAAGGAGTGGAAAGAAGGAGCTGCCATTGGAAAGAAAATTCCTTGACAGACAGGTTACAGAAGTACAAAAGATATGTCCTTTCTATTATAATTCAATTACATGTGTTAAGACAGGAATACTGTAGTTTAGTCGGCCCATTTAAAAAAGAAAAAAACACCTGGGATTCAGGTGATCCTAATAGTTGAGAGTTGAGAAAACTAGTTAAAGGCCAAATAAGCAAGGCAGCATCAGTTGGTTAATTAGTGCCACACATTTGTAGATATGGAGCATATCATTTTGGGCTATCACCCCCGTGGGTATGAATATATCCTGTGTGCAGGATCTGGAGGTGGGATAAGAGGGAAAGCACTACTAAAAGATCCTGGGTATCAGGAGAGTTAGAAGAAATTCTAGTTCATTCTGAGCTGGGTTTCAAAGAGCACAGGACAACTACTTGAAGCAGAGATAGAGTTTATTTAATAGCAAAACAGCTTAGCAAGGTAGCCACGAGTTAAAAAAAAAAGTCAGCTACATTTATAGAAGGGTCTGTCTTTTTTTTAAGGACATGCATGAATGCAGTCCACCTCAGAGAATGTACTGGATCCATTAGGGAGCAAATGTGATTTCTCCCTCTGTGGAGTTTTGTAAGCTTTGCCCTTTGTGAGTCCAGGTGTTGACTTTGAGTGATGGGTTTAGAATTGGGGGAAAGTAGGGCTGCCTACTTGTGGATGGATATTGAGAGACAGGTAGTTGTTTGTGGACTTCTCTCTGGAAATAGTTAAAGGGTTGACCTCATGCTGGGAGAAGGAGGCTCCATGGATTTGTCCTCACCTTAGCTACAGAGCCCTGTTCAGCAACACTCTGTTTTGCTCAACACCAGGCCAGGATCCAGCCGATCTCTCCTGAGGTCATTCCTGCTATCCAACTTGCTCTGGTCTTTGGAAGAAAAAAAAGCAAAACTGATTTTCTGATTGTTTCTCCTGCAGTTCTGCTGGTGGACAAGAGGTGGCACTCCAATGGCATCTTTGCAAGGACGGTGGCTCAGCAGAAGGCAGGCAGGCAGGCAGGCAGGGACTTTTCATCCACCAGATCCTGTGGCTGCTTCAAAGGCATAATTAAGGAGCTGGGCATTTTGTGAGCGAAGGGTGGCAGGAAGTGGACCTGGCAGGGCCCACACAAAGAAGAACCTCATGCAGGCCTTTTAGGCATTGAAGTGATTGATGCTTTTTATTCAGGCAATATATTTATTTTTAAAAAACAACAACCTAAAGTTATTTCAGTATTTTTGGTTTCCTAACTCACACGCTGCTCTTTCATGGGCACAAACGGTGGAGGAAAATATGTCAAAAACACGCCTGCCTGCCTGCCTGAAATCTTAAAGGACAAGCAAATACCTTCTTGTTCTCACAGACCTCGGCAGTGCTGCCGAAGAATTTGGAGATGGCCCACCAAAGGGGTGGGTGGATGATTAAACATAAGTGAAAAAGTTGCCTTTTTAGCTGTGTTCATTAAATGGTACTTGGTTTAGAGGCAGTCATCCAGCTCATCTTGTCTGATATCAAAAAAGTTAAGTAAGGTTGGACCTTATTAGCATTTGGACATACTACTACAGGTAGCTCTTGATTTACAACCACCATTGAGCTCAACAGTTCTGCAGGAGAAACAATCAGAAAATCAGTTTTGCTTTTTTCTTCCAAAGACCAGAGCAAGTTGGATAGCAGGAATGGCCTCAGGAGAGATCGGCTACATCAATGGTGGCGAACCTATGGCACGGGTGCCAGAGGTGGCACTCAGAGCCCTCTCTATGGGCACACGTGCCGTTGCCCCAGCCTTGCCTCCCGCCGCAACCCCCTCCTCTCCAGGAGCCCCCCTGAAGGAGAGTCACCCTTGAGTGTGGCCCATATGGAGCAGCGCAGCCAAGGACATGGCAGCCAGGCAGCATAGACAAGACTCTGCCCTCACACCCCATCATGCAGTTGATGCTGCAGAATGCGGACAGAGGGCGTGGCCGCCATAGCGCTGCTGGGCTGCCTGGGCGATCTGCGGCGGGCCCTGGAGGCGGTGAGTGATCCTGTGGGCAGGCGGGGCGGGGGATGGGGGACAGAGCAGGGGCGGAGCAGGGAGGTGGAGCGGGGGCAGGGCCAGTTTTTGGGCACTCGGTCTCTAAAAAGTTTGCCATCACTGGGCTAGATGCTGGCCTGGTATTGACCCAAACAGAGTGCTGCTGAACAGGGCTCTGTAGCTCAGGTGAGGACAAATGCATGGAGCCTCCTTCTCCCGGTATGAGGTCAACCCTTTCTCACCACCGTTGTTAACTGAATCACTGCACTCGTTAAGTTAGTAGCACAGTTGTTAAGTGAATCTGGCTTCCTCACTGACTTTGCTTATCAGAAGTTTGCAAAAGGGACCCTGGGACACTGCAACCGTCATAAATATGAGTCAGTTACCAAGCATCTGAATTTTGAGCACATGACCATGGGGTTGCCACAATGGTCGTAAGTGTGAAAAATGGTCATAGGTCACTTTTTCCAGTGATGTTGTAACCTTGAACAGTCACTAAATGAACTTTTGGTAGTTGGTAGCTGACTACCTGTATAGATGTGGTTTATTTAGGTCTTCATGCCTCAGTTGGCCACCAGATTAGATGGATCTTTTTCTCTGATTCATCCAGGACTCTTTCCTTGTCTCAACTAGTACCTAACCATAACCCAGACATGCTTTGATAGCATCTCTTTCTCTCTCTCTCTCTCTCTCTCTCTCTCTTTTACATGTTCTCATTACATTATGTTCCTCTTATTCCCAGCTCATGAATAAGACAGGTTTAAGTCATCCTTTAACAGTACTGGTATTAAAGTATTATTTTCCTTCTAATTTTAAGTATGCAAGGACAGTCTCAAGATATGCAAAATCTGTCACTTTTTACTTTTGTCACCCATGACCTTGGAAGAAAATCAAGAGACTGGCAGTGGCTAAAACAGAGGCAACGCAGGCAGGACAGGGATCAGCAATGGGGCTGGCATGTTTCATGGTGACATCATTTCTGGTTCAAGGATGGCTTGGGAGCACTTTAGCTCAGCAAAGGGGAAAGGCCCTATTACTCATGCATTATTTAAAACACAGCTTCAAAACCTGACCTGTTTTTTTTTTTTTTTTTGCTGCCCATAGCAAACAATTAAGTTTGGGGAGAAGATAATAAGGGACCCACATCTCCCAAATCAAGAGAACCATAGGTCCTGGCTAGGTCCATTTTGGAGTAAATAGCTATTGACAAATTGTGCAAAGTCCAGCATAGTCCTTGAGCCAATGGAAATTATCCGTCCCTGATTTACAAGTTTAAGGCTGAAAGCGTGCAACTTGTACAGTTGAGCACTGCTTCATCAGATTAGGCAAAGTCCCAGCAGATTCATTTGTTCAAAATGCTCAGCTTGTTTAGTATCACTTTGATTCTTTCTTTCTTTTTTAACTTTGTGTGTTGTGCAAACCCAGTGCATTTAGTTGGTTGAGTTAATTCAACTGCTCAAGAGAAGTAAGTTTTGTGAAAGCAGCCAATCTTTCTAAGTGAAAAGCTTCTACTCTCTGTCAAAGGCAAATAGACACAATCATAAAAATGCTCTTGTGAACAATTACATGCGCAATCTTTTGAGCTAAGCTGCATACATTTTCTTGGTACAGACTATGAGCAGATCCATATATACAGTTAATGGAAAGTACTCAAAAACATTTCACCTCCAAAACGGATCTTCTTCAATAGTGTATAATTGGAACTCTTCATTCAAAAGGAGGCCTGCAGTGAGACCTAGATGGGTAGAGTAGAGGATGCATCAGGATTGGCAAAATTTAGGGATCCTTTTTACCTAAAGGACTGCCTGAACCAATACAAGTATGCCCAGGCTTACAACCAGCCAGGGAAGTGCTTTAAAACTGTAGCACTTTAACTCTAGAAATAAATTATAGAGGGCTGAAAGTATCAGGAAGAAACTCTTTCGGGAGTGGCCCCATACTTACCAAACCCTTTCCTCTAAAAATATAACAGATCTACCACCGGGAAGAATTAAGGAACTCTACTTTCATTTTAGCCAACTTGCTGTTCCTTGCTATTGGCATTTAACTGTAGTTATTGATTATAAGGTGATTTTAATTCAAGATCATGGAAACCGAAGCCTTCCAATGTTGCAGGGAGCCCCTCAAAACCTTGGACTCTTAAAACCTAATTTTAATGTTACTGAAAATACTTTGATATTATGGTTAGTTGTTCAGTCATTCAGATGTTTAGACTGGATTTAACATTTCTGACCACTTATCGAGTCCTTCTCAAGGCCTGTTGTGATGATCCAGGGTCCTGAATGGAGGCAAAGCAATTAGCTGGTCAGAATAATTGTCTTTGTAAGCACTGCCAATGTTCACCCAGCAGCTCCCACATATGCTGGCACAAGTTCAATAAAACAGTCAACGGAGTTACAGTTCTTTAATGTAACACAGATAACAAACAAAGTATGATCTTTTCAACGCCCAGCTTGCCTGTAACCTGCAAACTGCAAAATTGAGGGCAGCAAGGAGAACTCAGCAGGAAACAAATTTGATCCAAAATACAAAGAGTCCAAGTACAAGAGCTCACATCACAAGACACGTTTGTTCCCGGCAAATGCCCCACCCCACAGCGTCTCCTTAAATATCTATTCTCCAGGTGTGCCTTGTGGAGTGGGGCGTGATGCTCTCCTTCCGAGCAAGTGAGCCTGCCTCTGTTGTTCCCTCCTCTCTGCTCTCCTTGCTCTGGGATCTGGTGGGGAGGGATCTTGCTCCTCACCTGAGCTCTGCCTTCCCTGTTCCAAACTTGAAGGGCCCTGGCCTGCTTCAGCCTGTTCCTCCCCGCAGTCCTCCGAAGCCACAGACACCCCCTCCTTGGCCTCATCAGGGAACTCCATGTCAGAAGGAGGCATGACACCTGGGTTAGGCAGATATGGAGTTTGATGGAAGTATCATTGCAGCATGTAATCTCTTCCAAGTAAGACTGCCTTTTGCAGTTGACTGATGGTGATTTTGTCAATGCCGATGGTGTTCAAGTGGTATTCCAGATGTTTTGGGATTGCACCCAACACGCCTATTACGATTGATACTAGCTTTGCTTTCTTTTGCCATGTTATACTTCTATATACTATCTCTTTATGATTTTCTCCAGTTTTTTTGTCCTCTATTCTACTGTCTCCAAGTATTGCAATGTCCATTATCCAGACTTTTTTTGTCTTTCTTATCAACAATAGTTAGGGTGTTGTGTGGCAGATGCTTGTCTCTTTGAATTCTGAAGTCCCAGAGCATTTTAGTTACATCATTTTCTATTACTTTGTCTATTTTGTGGTCCCACCAGTTCTTTCTTGCAGACAAGTCATATTTTTTGCAGATATTAAAAACACTAGTCCAGTGTTTTTCAAACTTAACAATTTTAAGATATGTGGACTTCAACTTCAACATCTGATGGATTTTCTGGAGGTGTTTTTTTTTTTGGTAAGATTTTTCAGAAGTTGTTTGCCATTGCCAGGAATGAGAAAGAGTGATTGACCTAAGGTCATCCAGCTAGCTTTATGCAAGCACCTTAAATACTACACCAAACTGGCTGTCCATATTAAGTGTACTTAGTCATTTAATATCAATAATCAAGTAAATTTGAATAAAATTCAATTTAATTTTTACTGCCTTCCTCTCCTCTTCTTTATCTTGATTCCGACCTATTCAAAGGCTTGTTGTAGCCCTAGATCTCAAAAATATTTGCACTGTATTATATTTTATTAATCTTTATGATGACTATTACTGAGTTTGGGTGATAAACACTGGAAGCCATTAAACACTGAATGTAGAATGGGATGTTTAGAAAGCTAGCTTGCAAGCAGAAACCTATTAAAATGAACAGGATTGGCTCAAGGCCACGAATGCAAGCCCATTGATTGCAAACTGAAAAATAGCATTTTGCTTGGGACCTTCTCTGTGCAGAAAATCTTCTTGACCACTGAATGATGGGGACACATTCCATTTAAATATATAGGAAAACATCCAATAATACACAGCCTTTGTTTGCTGGGGGTCAAATTAGTTCCAAGGCAAGGCTCTTAATGCTAAGCCAATAACTTTGGAGTAAGAAAGGTTTGCTAGAAATGGGAAGGGTTCAGCACACAGTCTGGTGCAGGGGTTCTCAACCTTGGCAACTTTAAGACTTGTGGACTTTAACTCCCAGAATTCCTCAGCCAGCAAAGCTGGCTGAGGAATTCTGGGAGTTGAAGTCCACAAGTCTTAAAGTTGCCAAGGTTGAGAACCCCTGGACTCTGGTGGGAGGTGGGGATCTAGCAGTTATCCTCCTCTTAAACTCAGAAATCTGACCAGGATGAGGAGCATAAATGAAAAGGTGAGTAGCTCAGTCCACTCCCCCATTCAGTCGCAGCTGCACTGCAGTTCCTAACCACTTTCTTTATCTCTGTTCCAGATGTCTCGGACAAGATGTATGCTGACATTCTCTGGTGGCTGAAAGGTGGGTATTTGGCACTCATGATCTCAACTCTGAAAAGACAAAAAGCATGCTTCCTGTTTTATTTCACTTGTCCTTGGCTCATAGCCTTTCCTGAAAGATGCATCTTCTGTGTATTCTTTTCTGTACTTTACAAATGTCAAGTGTTATAAGAACAGGATGATTGAGTAGGTCCTTCAGACTCCTAAAGGAAACATATGATTTCAGGTATTAACCAAAATTTGGTTTTGCTTTTGCTTTTGCTTTTCAGAGTTATACATGGAAAATGATTGAATTATTATTCCACTCGTAGCTACTTGATTAGACTATTTTGCATTTATATTTTAGTGTTTAGGACACAATCCTATTAATGGAGAATAAGCTCCACTGAATCCAGCAGGTTTCACTCTTGAGTAAGCAATGAACTCACTGCTCAATGAATCTATTTCAGAGGAAAATGGTTAACCTGATATATCTCCTAAGAGAACTTCATTTATTCATAGTGAAGGGAATTCTAAAGAGTTTCCAAATATTTGGAAAACAATATTAGGGCATAGTTCTGTTTATGGTTATGAAAGAGTCACTTCCATCAAACCCAGTAGGGCTTCCAAGTAGACATGTACAGAATTTCATTGTTAATTACATTTGATTCATATGAATGCAACTCACCAGCAGATATTTCATCTTTTTTTAATTAACATTGCAAAGGTCATTTGCCATTTCTATTTCATATGAGTGTGGCAAATGTACCTTGAAGTGTGTGTATAAATATGAACAACAACTCTGACTGCCTTAAAATCAGATCTAGGCTGATAACACGTAAACATGTGATTCATTACCTAAATTAGTGCAATTGGCTAATTCACTCTATTTAAATAAATTTATCAACAGCAAAACTTTAAAGAAGGTCTTTAAGCATTCTAACAGAAAGCAGTAAGACAAATAAGTGCATAGCAAAGTAGTATACAATGATATTTAAATCTGAGTGGATTTTTCTCCACCAGTTGTAGTATTTATTATCAAGATTGCATTATAAAGAATTATGTTTAAAAGGCTATTATTAATGCCCCCCCCCCTCATCTCCCCTTTCCAATTTGAGGCTGTAGTATTATTCCTTGTGTCAGGGCATGCTGTGTGGCTTCAGCAGGTAATAAGCACAATACCCATTATTATGGTGGAAACTCCAACTTTAAATGAAGTTGTCTTCAGGTGAACAATATTAGTTTTATTGGAATGGTGGGATAGCATTTGGGCAAGAGAAGGAAGTCTTAAGGTGGGCCCAGTTAATCGGTTTTAGAAGATGGAAATAGATAGGATGAACATGAAAATGGATGGAACATGGATAAAGTCAGGATTTTCTATTTCTCTTCTGGATTTCAAGGAAGATAGGGACTTTTCATTTACTTTTTTGGAATTATGCTAAACTGATTTAATAGTTTTTTTTTTCCTGTGAGTGCCATCTCAAAACTATGAGAAATTACACTGATCACTTTTGGCAGTTCTGGTGAAAGAGATTTTTGGGGATTGCCAAAAAGAGGTTCAGGGTATATCTCCAGCCCTAAATTGTGCCACTTTCTGCTTTGGATGGCAAGTTCAGCTGGTGTTACTAATCAGGAATAAGACAACTGTCTCACTTCTGAGACTCTAAACTTTGTTTTTGTAGTTTGGGCTAGGTGGTGCTCATCCTGAGTTTTTCCTGCAAACTGAGGATGAAAGTTGCAACCCCAGAGAGCTGACAACCAAATGTAATAGGCAGATCTAATCTCTTTTGCACTCATTCAGGGCAACAGCAGCAGCATCAACAACAAAAAACTGACATGTGTTCAGTCTGTATTTGTTGAACCTCCCAGGCGTAACCTTCGCTGTTTATTGCAAGGGAGGAAATCTTTTTTTTTTTTAAGTTTTTATTTTCCATTTTTCATTACACTCATACAAAATACTTCAGATAAAGAGTAAAATAAATTTATACACACAACTTTCGGTATTGCTCACTCATTTCCCCCCAAACCTCATCCTCCCTTTGACTTCCTGCCTTACTTCCCTCTTCCTCCCTCTTCTTCCTCACCACACTCCTTCTCTCCTCTTTCTCCTCCACCTTCCTACTTGCTTCTCCCCTTCCTCCTACTTTCTCATCCCACTCCGGATGCAGTCCAGGGAAAATGCCAGAGCAATTCCTCTCTCCAAATTACAACATCAATATTATATACAATAAAACTATTTCTACTTATCTGACCTATTTAACCTCCAACCCACCCTTCCCCTCCTCACCTCCTCCCTCCCCGACTTCCCAGAGCCAAGTACAGGGTTATACAAACATATTAAACATAATCAACTTAACTTTACTAATTATACAATAACCAAAATCATACTAACCCTTAACTCCCTTCAAACTTTAACATCATAATTTTATAAACAAATCCATCATTCATAAAATAAATGAAACTTTGTAGTTCCATATTTCTTCTGAACATATTCTATCCATCTTCTCCATACAATAACATATCTCTCTTGTGAATGATCCTTTAAATAAGCAGAAATTTTGGCCATTTCTGCTAAATTAGAAACCTTAAGTACCCATTCTTCTAAAGTAGGCAGAGAGTCCTTCTTCCAATATTGACCAACCAATAATCTTGCTGCTGTTATTAAATTCAACATTAAAATAGTTTCTTTAGCATCAAAATCCACAAAAATACCCCAAAGAAATAATTGGGGAGTAAACTTAATCTTTTTTTAAAAACCTTTTGAATGTTCCACCAAATCATAATCCAAAAAGCTTTAATATTTTTACAAGTCCACCAAACATGAAAATATGAACAGCTCTGCATATGAATCACTCCTCCTCTGTTGTAATGGAGAGAAACTGGTATGGACAGAGAAGTTTCAGTTTTCTGTTAGAAGTAGAAATTTTGGGGGTTCAGATGGATGCATAGTGCTGACTCACAGGGCTGTGCTTTGGACCATCCTGAATGCAATATCCCTCTCCTGTATATTAAAGTAGCTTTAAAATAATAATAGTAGTAGTAATAATAATAATAATAATAATAATAATAATAATAATAATAATAATAATAATAATAATAGAAGTAAAATAACTACAGCAAATAGAGGTAGAACAGTTGTGGCCAAAGAAGGAAAGATAATATCAGTAGTAATAAGTACCTTGAGTGCAACCCAAAACAACTGCAGCACCACATGAACACCATTAACATTGACAAATCACCATCAGTCAATTGCAAAAGGCAGCTTTATTCAGAATAGCTTATATCTTGGGAAGTTGAATCATAATTCAACTGAATTCAAATTTGCAGATTACACTAAGATGGCAGGAATAGCCAATACCCCAGAAGATAAACTCAGGACCCAAAAAGTTCTTGAAAGACTTGAACAACGGACCATATCCAACAACATGAAATTTAACATGGAGAAAAGCAATGTATTACACCTAGCGAGGAAAAATCAAAGATATAAGTACAGATTAGACGAGACCTGGCTCAAAAACAGTAACTGTGAGAGGGACCTTGGAGTCCTAGTGGACAATCACCTGACTATGAGCCAGCAGTGCGCAGCAGTAGCCAAAAAGCTAATACAATCCTGGGTTGTATAAACAGGCATACAATCAAGATCATGCAAAATATTAGTACCACTTTATAAAACCTTAGTGAGACCACACTTGGAATACTGCAACCAATTTTGGTCACCATACTAAAGAAAAGATGTTGAGACCTTGGAAAAAGTTCAGAGAAGAGCAACTAAGACAGGGTGTCAAACTGCCGGCCTGCAGGCCGGATGTGTCACACGGAAGCCACGCCCATCCCATTGCCAGCAATGGCAAAACTGTCCTGATACATTGCGCGATGTGCAAGCTTGACATGTCTGAACTAAGATGATCAAAGGCCTGGAGACTAAAACATAAGAAGAACAGCTGTAGGGTTTGGCTAGTCTAAAGAAAAGAAGAAATAGGGGTGACATGATAGCAGTATTCCTGTATTTGAGGGTCTGCCACAAAGAAAAAGGGATCAAATTATTCTCCAAAGCACCAGAGGGCAGTACAAGAAACAATGGTTGGAAACTGATCAAAGAGAGAAGCAACCTGGAATTAAGGAGAAACTTCCTAACAGTGAGGATAATTAACTAGTGGAACAGCTTGCCTTCAGAAATTGTGGGTGCTCCATCACTGGAAGTTTTTAAGAAGAGACTGGACAGCCACCTGTCTGAAATGGTATAAGAGGTTCTCCTGCTTGAGCAGGGGGTTGGAGTAGAAGACCTCCAAGGTCCCTTCTAGCTTTATTCTGATTGATTGATAAATATTTTTTACCAATACATCAATACAGAGACTGCAGTGAACCAGTCAACAACTGATAAAGAAGAAACAGTGTAGTTAGGGATGCAGCTATGAGACAGCCAAAAAATACAACAAGAATGCAACTTGGACAAAGGAGGTGGGTAAAACTAAAAAAGAAGGTGAAATGAAAGAACTTGTAATAACAGCAGAAATGGTGGAGAAAAGGACAAGGAAGATCAAGAATTAGTCAGACTAGAAGATGAACTGCATGGTTTTTGCTTGAAACATTTGATTGATCTACGCTCACTCATTTCCAAGCAGTTTAACAGCATACTGCAAGGAGGTGAAATGGAAGATTGGTTAACACCTGGCAAAACCTGATAATGAAAGATCCAACAAAAGGGGCAGCACCAGGCAACCATAGGCCAATTACCTACTAACCAACAACATTCAAATTGCTAACTGGCATGATAACTGATGCAGTCCAACAGCATCTAGTTGAAAATAAGCTCTTTCCATCTGAGCAGAAAGGAAACTACCCAAATAGCAGAGGAACAAAATATGAGTTCCTAAGTGACAAAATTATTTTGGAAAACTGTAAGAGAAGGAAGACCAACTTGAATTTAGCTTTCGTTGATTACAAGAAGATATTTGACTCCCTGCCACATGCTAAGACCAGGAAAATTGAAGAAAGAAACAAAAGGCTAATTCTGGCTGCACAAGGCCAGGCCTTAAGAACAAATGAGCCAGAATTGAGACGACAGCAACAGACACCAAGTACTGCTTTTGCAGAAGAAACAATTGGCCACCTAGATAGCTGCTGAAAGAAAATGCACAGATTGACTACAAAAACAAAAAAAATAACAATCCTGCTTTGGAATAACTGCAAGAAATTGCATTTGCCTGCAAGCAAGGGCTGGTGGGACCGTAAAATAAATATAATAGAAAATGAAGAAACTAAAGAGCTCTGGGACTTTAGAATTCAAATAGCCAATCACCTGCCACATAACACCCTAGACCAGTGATGGTGAACCTATGGCACGCATGCCAGAGGCAGTACTCAGAACCCTCTCTGTGGGCATGTGCGCTATGTCCCGGAGATGGCAACTGTCCCTCTTCAACCAGCCACCTGCTAACTAGTCGAGGTCCCAGGTGGCCGGATGCATCCCGGCATGGCTGGTTTTCCTCCCCCCCCATCCCATCCCTCCTGGCCTTGCATGCTCTCCTTTTCCTGGGCATGACCCACTGCATCGTCTCCTCAGCTGTCAGTCGGCCATCCATCTCAGAGGCGGCTTCTTTGAACTGCTGGTGGCGGGCTGCGGAGTTCCAGAGTGCGCCGGTCAAGGGGCCAGCAGGCTGTTGCTGCTGACAGACACCGTCGTCCCCCATGCGCTCGCTGGCCTCTGTGTGCAGGGGCCAATGGTGTCAGGTAGCAGCTGCCCCTTACCTTGCCCCATGGCAATGCACCCCCACCCTGCTGTGCCTCACCCACAGGACGAGCTTCCTGTCTACCGTCCCACCTACCAGAGACCTCCTGGATCCCCCCCAACCCTGCCCATCCCCCACCATCCCATCCCTCCCACGAACAACATTGAGGTGACCATGCCCACCTTGGCCACATCCATTCAATCTGCCATGACCACCACAGCCACGCCCACCCAGTGGGCCACATCCACCTGGCACCCGGCAATAAATAAGTGGATTTTGGGATGCAGTTTGGGCACTCAGTCTCTAAAAGGTTTGCCATCACTACCCTAGATGCAACAACTGTCAATAAGAAAGAGAAAAATGTCTGCACAGTGGACATGGCAGTACCTGGAGACAGCAGAAGAACTGGAGAAAAATCACAAAATACAATGAACTGCAAATAGAAGTATAACACCTGTAGCAAAATATTTCTTTTAATCTTTTAAAAACTTTTTTTATCTCTACAAAAGATACTAGCAAAGATATTGATAGTCACCTTGGTTGCAAAACATCTGAGGCACCACTTGAATACCATTGGCATTGACAAAATCACCATCAGTCAATTGCAAAAGGCAGCTTTACTTGGAACAGCTTACATCCTGCAGCGACACTAACACATCAAACAACACCTATCTATTCCAGGTCCTTGGGAAGGACTTGATAGGTATATAAAAATGCCAAATCCAATTTAAATATTTGGCTGATTGTGCCCAGCAATAATAATAATGGTTAGGACATGAATCATTACTTTTCCACCAGTCTTAGACTGTAAATTGAACTATAGATTACTTACGCATAGTGGTGGGGGCTATGGGTATAGCCAATGAGCAATGATGTTACAAGAATGGTTGACCCTAGCTTTGGGGGAAGGGCAATTATTTTGTCCTTTGTCAGTTAAAAGTTAAAAGCCCCTTTTTTGGGTGAAATGAATGGCTCATGAGCTTTTCTTCCACTTCTAAATTCCCCAGTTTGGTAACTTTGGCTCTTACCTTCTCAGAAAGCAGGGGTCCTGGGATTTGCTTGAGGCCCTGACTTTCCGTCCTGCTCCAGGTTGCCCATTGTTAATTGTTTATGTCTTCAGTTTGATGATGCTCTAACTATAAGCATCTAATACAGACCTTTCTCTTTCTGTCTAATCCTTTATTATCTTCTGATCGCTTTTCCTTTCAATTTTGGAAATGATGACTCCTTGGAATCTCCTCCCTCCAGATGAAGAGGTAAGAGAAAGAGAGAGAGAGAAGAGAGAGAAATTATCCATGTAATGGGCTTTTTGCTACTCTTAACATTTGAGAGGTTTACAAACCCGGCTAGATTTGGTTTCACCCCTATTCTATCCCCACTTCTATTTGGTAAGGATTGTTCTCACCTCAAGTTTCTAGAGTTGATAAAGTGTGTCTTATATTTTGGGAAGAGATGTGATGTTAGGTGTCTTTTCTTTCCAATGATAATGTGAATAGTGTGTGTGTGTGTGTGTGTGTGTGTGTGTGTGTGTGTGTGTGTATGGGTATACTTGTGTTCACGAATGCAACCAAGCTAAAACGTAGCCTAAAAGGATCTTCAAGTGTGGTATGTGCCCATTATGATGATGATGGTTTTGAGACTTTCAAACTTTCTCGCTCATAGATAAAAATGAGTCATCTCAGAGATGCTCATGAATTTTTAGCTGGACAATCATTAACATTAACAAGAGAAAAAAGTAGTTCAAGCAAATATTCAAGTCCGAAAAATGTGCACATTTATTTTATGCATAGAGGTGGGTTGATAATTTCTGCTATAGAAGATTCATAATTTCGAGTAATTTCAAATAGACTAAGACGAGCTGGAATGCTAAATCAAACCCAACAAAATAACATTCTTTATTGTAAAGTTGAGCATTTGAGTATCCCACCTGCTCTTCTTCACTATGCTTTTCTACCTCTCCGGAGCTGATCTATGGGCAGACTGCAAGTGTGCTCCCAAAGCCATCCAGATATTGACACCAAGCTGTAATTTATTATGAGTAAAAAGCAAAAAATGGTTTAATACATAAATCAGCTAAAATTGTAATTTTGACTTCAGTTTATTATGATTTTGCCAACTTCTTAGCATCTACCCGTAGTTTACTGAAAAGTTGCACATTTCCAAATTATGGAGCAATCTCATAAGATAACAGCATTTTTCCTGTAGGTGGCAACATTAAATTAGCAATCAGCCAGCCAATTCTGCAGCCTTTTGAGAGTAAAATAAAACTGTTTTTCAGCCAGGAGAAGTCAGTACAGCCTCTGTCCTAAAGTTGGGTGGGACAAGCAGTTTCAAGAGGCAAAATGCTGAGAGGGATTAATGAAAACACCTATTGGTTTTTGTAGAATGCAAGTTTGCTTGACTGAGAATGCAGCGGTTGGGCTCATTCTAGGAAAAGTGTTTCTTCCTCACATTTTGAAACATTTGAAAAGGCTTCTTCAAATATTCACGTAAGGCAGATATGGGGAACCAGGGCTCTTTTATGACTTGTGGACTTCAACTCCCAGAATTGTTGGCTAGCTCAGGAATTCTGGGAGTTGAAGTCCACAAGTCACAAAAGGACCATGGTTCCCACCCCTGACCTAAGGTAACAGTTCTCCATTGTAAAATCTAAATGTCTATTGTGAGTCTTTGGTCATCCTAAGTTTCAAGAAGCATCTTTGGATATTCTTTTTGTCTGGCTGTTTGGAGAAAGTCTACATAAAGTCTACATCAGGGGTGTCAAACTCAATTTAATTGAGGGCCGCATAAGCATTGCGGTTGTCCTCGGTGGGGGGCGGGGATGTGTGGCTTACTGGGTGGGCGTGGCCAGCTCTACATCGTTCGCGTCAAGAGGGCCTGTGGGGGCCTAGGCATGAGTGGGACAGATCTGAGGGTGTCTGACAGAAGGGGATGGAACCAGGGCAAGTGCCAAGGCATGGTCCACAGAGGAGCCTCACTGTTCCTCTCAGGCCATGCGGGGGGTGCTGGATGATGGTGCCACCACAAAATTGTACATTAGCTCCTGGCCGGCTTGGGCCAGGGCCAAGGCAGCGGGGGCCGTTCCCTCACTGTTTCCAGGATGGCTTTGCGGGCCACATGAAACCACTTCGCAGGCCGCATCCAGCCCCCGGGCCTTGTGTTTGACATGTCTGGTCTACATCAATAGATAGGAAAGAAAAGTCTATAGAATATCCAAAATTCTTTGCCCATACTATCATTGTCTTCTTCTTCTTCTTCTTCTTCTTCTTCTTCTTCTTCTTCTTCTTCTTCTTCTTCTTCTTCTTCTTCTTCTTCTTCTTCTTCTTATTCTTCTTCTTCTTCTTCTTCTTCTTCTTCTTCTTCTTCTTCTTCTTCTTCTTCTTCTTCTTCTTCTTCTTCTTCTTCTTCTTCTTCTTCTTCTTCTTCTTCTTCTTCTTCTTCTTCTTCTTCTTCTTGGATAAAAACATTACGCTTACTAAAACAGCAACATATAAAGAAAATTTATATAAGATGTTTTATAGATGGCATATGACACCAGTTCGTTTAGCAAAAATGTTTAAAAATGTATCAAATACTTGTTGGAAATGTAAATAACAGCCAGGCACTTATTACCATGCCTGGTGGGTATGCCCTAATGCAAAGAAATATTGGTTTAAGATTCATAGATGGCTGGAAAAGATGATGAAAATACAGATAGAATTTAAACTGGAATTGTTTTTGCTAGGAATATTAAGACCTAATTATGAGAAAGAGAATGACTACTTAATATTACATGTTTTAACAGCTGCAAGAATTGTATTTGCCCAATTTTGGAAAATTGAGAATCTACCATCTGACCAGGCTATAATTGCTAAAGTTTTAGATTGCGCAGAAATGGATAGATTAACATTGGAGATGAAAGAGAAAGATGATTCAGTTTACTTTAAAACTTGGGAAAATTTTTATCAATGGTTAGAGACACGTTAGAATGTGAAAAGAACTTAAAATTATAGAATAGATAGATTTTTAAGTAAGTTTCTGTTCTTAGGTTAATAACATCTTTATTTTTAGTGATTCTTAATTGCTAATGTTGACAATTATGATTAGTTGAGATTTTATTAATTACATTTATCTATATAGAGGAATTTTATCTGTTTATCAATCTTTAGTAATATGGTTATAGTTAATCTTATTTTAAAATGGCTGAGTAAAATATAAATTATGTTTATTTACTATTTTGATCCGGACAGTAGCTTGTTTGTTAAAGTATGAGATTATTGTTGGGGGTTACCCCACTACGGCACCTACCTTCTTTCCATCCCAAATTCCCCATGCCCTTCCCTCCCCATACCTGCACTCTCCCTATTCTTTCCTCATGTATATAAAATCTAATAAAATATTTTAAAAAAATAGATAGGAAAGAAAAGGACCTCGCAAATAGGACATTGACACAAAATGAGTGTGAGCATCCTTTTTTGTTGCAGTTTGGGAAGACTGTATATTTTATTAGTCTATTAACCATGTATTACATTTATACAAAGTAATGAAACTTACTGCCTTTCAAATTTGGTTTACAATTATTATTAATTTTAGCTCTGGGGTCTTCAACATGGAGCCTAAGGAGTCCAGTAGATTTTTGGAGCTTTTTTTAGCATGCACCAGGTTTTTTGCCACAACTGATATACAGGTAGTCCTCAACCTACCACCATAGTTGACCCAAAATTTATGTTGTTAAGTGAGAAATTTGTTAAGTGAGTTCTACCCCATTTTACAATTTCTCACTCCACATTTATTAAGTGAATCACTGCAGCTGTTAAATTAGTAACATAGTGGTTAAGTGACTCTGGCTTCCCCATTGACTTTGCTTGTCAGAAGGTCGCAAAAGGGGATCACAAAACTCCAGGACACTGCAGCTGTCATAAATGTGAGCCAGTTGTCAAGCATCCGAATGTAAATCACATGACCATGGTCAGGGGTAGGCAACTTTGGCTCTTTTATGACTCGTGGACTTCAACTCCCAAAATTCCTGAGCCAGCATGGCTGGCTCAGGAATTCTGGAAGTTGAAGTCCACGAGTCATAAAAGAGCCAAGGTTGCCTACCCCTGACCATGGGGATGCTGCAAGAGTCGTCAATGAGAAAAATGGTCATAAGTCCCTTTTTTAAATGACATTGTAACTTTGAACCGTCACTATATGAACTATTGTAAGTCAACTACCTGTATTACCTTTAAAAAGATAATTTTAAAATATGGGAAGATGTCGTGTATCAGTACAGACGGCCATTTCTGTCACTGTCTTTAGTCCTAAGAATGACTCTTTGCCCTAAATGAATTGCATAAGCTCTCTTAGATGAGTGAAGCCCAGTGCTTTGTTTGGAAGTGTCCCAGCACGTGCCATTTTGCAAGCCTGCCAACATGTCAAAAGTCCCAGTGGACTTGGGTTGCTACTAGATGATAATGAGATTGACAGCTGCTGCCTAGACAGAGAATCCACTGCCTCAGAGAAGTTCCTCTTGACTGCAGCACTGCTAGGGACCACATACCAAAAGGGATTCCCCAGGAGACCTCCCTATAGAGGAAAAAGAGATTTTGGGGGGAAGAAAACACCCCAAGCGCTTCTTCAGCAAGAAACAGGATAACAAGAAGCAACATACTTGGGTTGGAAAGAGGAATTAAAGAAAAATATAAGCCATTTTTCTGTATGAGGACTTAGTAAATCCAAGAGAGCAAAGAGAAATCCTTTGTCAGGAACTCCATTTGTCTCTGAGGGGCAGGTCAAGAAACAATTTTAGCCAGATATCAACACTGGGGTATACAGGAAGTCCTCAACGTACGACCACAACTAAGCCCAAAATTTATGTTGCTAAGCGAAACATTTGTTAAGTGAATTTTGCCTCATTTTATGACCTTGCCATGGTTTTTAAGTGAATCACTGCAGTTAAGTGAGTAACACGGTTTTAAATGAACATGGCTTCCCCCTTGAGTTTGCTTGTCAGAAGATCACAAAAGGGGATCACATGACCCCAGGACACTGCCACCGTCATAAATATGAGTCAGTTGCCCAGCGTCAGAATTTTGATCATGTGACCATGGGGATGCTGCAACAGTTGTAAGTGTGAAAAATGGTAATACGTGACTTTTTTCGTGTGTTCTAACTTCGAACAGTCACTAAATGAACCGTTGTAAGTCAAGGACCATCTGTATGTTGTATTTGCGTACACCTAAGTCTGCTGTGAGAACTGGTTTGGTGTAGTTGTTAAGGCATCAATTTAGAAACT